TCAAAATTTTGTTCTACGTACGTGAACCTTCAAAATTAATGGTACAAACGGAACCATTACATTACCAAACAAAAAAATGACTCTTGGAATATCTTTTCTTTACGATAAACTGAATCTCTCGTTGGCCTGACCAGTGACTCTTGGAATATAAGTAGAAAAATATGACTTACAATCTTTTACTGGATCAGCTTCTGTCAGATACACTAACTACACGAAAACTCACAAACTTTCACTGCTACTGCTTCCTACCTCTGGTAAACAACCCGAGAACAACGGTCGTTCGCCTTCTACCCTTGGAAACCAACTGATTATCTTTTCTCTCTCAAAAATCTAGCTAAACTTTCATTCCTACATACCTATCCCACCTTTTTCAATCTCCGCCAATCAAAGCTCGTCACAATTCTCCCATTTTTTCATTTCGATAACAAACAAATTTTTACCTATAATTATAAAATTTCCTAAAACTTATTTACAAATAATATTTTTCTACAATTCTTAAAAACTAACAAAAACCTCTTTCTAAAATCTATTCTATTGTCCTTAATCACTGCATTAACGTATTTGGAAAACCCGGTTCAATTGTCTTTGGATTTCACTTAAAATTATGCGGGTCACTCAAGTATATTATAACAAAGAAAATAATTTATGCATAGCTTACATTTTGTTTAATACAGGTAATCCAAAAATTTAAAGACTTTTCTTCTTCGAAATATTTGTTGGTTATTATCCTACTTATCTAAATAATTTTAATGTTTTTGAACTTTGAAATATTTCAAACAAACCAATATTTTTCTCGATTTTACATATCATAACAATATATTTATATAATCGAACAACTCTCTACCCTAAGGTGTGAGGTAAATACAAATACAGGTTACAGATATACATTACATCTCAAATCTAATGAAAATGCAGAATTCTTGTTTTTTATTCTATTCTATGCACGAACTTTGCCCATTCTTTCTTGTTTTTTGCCTCATATTGAGCTTCTGACCATTCCATTCCCCTACTTTTCAAAATCTGCCCTACTTCGTCATTCCAGGTTTTCCGTGGTCTGTCTCTGGTTCTACACTTTTTCACTTTAAACTTCCAGACTTGCTTAACGGATCGGTTGTCGCTCATTCGGCACAGATGACCAAACCATTTTATCTGTTGTGTTTTAACAGCATGTAGTACATATTATGTGCCCAGTTCTTTTTAACAACTTCGTTTCTTATTTTGCCTCGTCGTGTTATTCCTTTGACTTGTCTTAGATATTTCATATCAATAACTTGTATCTTGCTTTTTAATTGCTTTGTTAAAACCCAAATCTCGCTTCCATATATCAAGATAGGTCGGAATACTGTCTTATAAACTGTCATTTTGGTTCTTCTGCTGATTTCCGGTTTACCTATGAATTCCCTACTAAGATTATAGAACACTTTTGAAGCACTACTTATTCTTTCTGTTATTTCATTCTGCATGGTACCTTCTCTGTCTATTGTAACCCCTAGGTAGTTGAATGCATCTACTCGTTCTATGGGTTGTTGGTTAATTTCTATGTTAACATTTCGTTTAGTTTTTGCTATTAGCATCACCTTGGTTTTCTTAACATTAATCTTCATGTTTCTAGTTGCGAGCTCATTATTCCAGCTATCTATATTTTTCTGGAGGTCCCTTTCGTTGGAAGCGCATAACATGAGATCGTCTGCGAATGCACACTCAGCTATACCAACCGGTCGTAGTTTACTATATTCGATATGTACTTTGTGTATACTTGCTTTTATTTCCATAATTATGTCGTCAATAATCAATACGAACAGTGTGGGGTTCATAACAACTCCTTGTCTTAGACCCTCGTTTATTAAAAACATTTCTGATTCCAAGTTATCCTTACGTACATAACTCTTGTTATTTTGATACAGACTTTCGATAGCACCTATTAGTTGACGGTCAATATTTTTAATTTGAAGACTTTTCCAAACTGCTTCCTGGGACACTTTGTCAAATGCTTTCTCAATATTTAGAAAAGCCACATATTTCTGTGTTCTTTATTCTAGCTTTCTCAATTATTTGTTTCAACGTAAATATATGGTCTTGCGTAATGCGTCCCTTCCTAAACCCACTTTGTACTTTATCCAGATGTGGTTAAACGATGTGTCTTAATTTTTTCTTTTCTAGGATGCTTTCATATATTTTGGAGACGATACTGAGTAGATTAATTTCACTATAATTTTCACAAGAACTTGGGTCTACTTTTTTAAAGATTTGTAGTATTATGCCAATTCTCCAATCTTCGGGAACTGTACATCGGTTCCAAGCCATGTTCATAATTTTGGTTAAAAATTCAACTCCTTTCGGTCCCATTGTCTTTAACATTTCAGCAGTAATTTTGTCATGACCAGCCGATTTATCTCTCTTTGTATTATTAATTGCTTCTTTGACTTCTTCTATTTAGATATAATTTTGTTGCCTATATTCTCCTTCTACTTCTATCATTACAGTTTCCTCTTTCGGCTGTCTTGGTGTTAGGAATTCGCTGAAGTATTGTCTCCATCTTTTCATAATCTTATTTGGTCTAATAATTAGCGTGCCGTCTTTACGTTTCACCTGTTTCATTGTTGTTTCTTTACCTTTTCTCACCGTTTCTTTCACCACCTTTCTTTGTCGTTTATATTCTTCGTAACTATTTTCTGGTCTCTTGTTTAAATATATTTTCCATTTCTGTTTTTTATATTTTATTTGGGCTTTTAATTCATCGTCCCACCTTCGTAATTGCTTTTTATTTCTGTTTACGTGGCATATTTAGTGTCAGCAACCGGCTTATGGCGTTTTACTGTTCCTATTGTCATATTGTGCCACTCGTAATACCAATAAGGGGTATTTCGAGTAATATTTTTACCTACCTCGCTAAATTGCTTTACTTGTGTTTGTACTTTACATAAATGCATATGCACTTATACAGTTTACACAAAATATGCAAATATGCACTTAATATGCATTTTTCATATTTCCTTAGCTCTAGTAATAACTCGTAAGTAGTATTAAAGAGAGTAATCTCTTAAATAAAATATTTAAGATATCCTCTATAACTCGGCACTTTTATGATGAGTGTATATCTAAATATGTATTCATGTCAGTAGATTATTAAGTTTTTTATATCTTTCAGTCTTCTTAGGACGATTATGAAAGTCAACTACATAAAACAGAACAAAAAACACACACTGAATATATTAAAATAAATTTTGCTTAACGAACTCAGGGTTTAAACTTCAGTTTTTTAATTAAATAAAGTATACGGAAAATGGAAATGACTTGAAGTAACCCCAAGAAGTGTGATTAGTATGAGATAAATGGAGATACCACAGTCGTTTTAATTAATTCATCAATGGCTGTCTGCAGCATTAAGATCCTAATCGTATTAAAGACGACCTCAAGGGTGTAAGTTTAAAAAAGTGTAGGGAAATATTTAATTAGATAATTAATTACACAACCGCTTTGGAAGTATCTAGAAATAAACAATAAATATACGTTAATGACAGTGATCTTTAATTTTTGAACTAAAGAATTTATTCCCAATAAAAATTGGGCAAACCTTTTTTTAATTTAAATAAAAACTTTTATTTTTATATGTAAAATATAGGGACACAAACAGAACAATGCCGCATGGCCCTTGGAGAGTACCGACCAAAGCGAATATTTATTATAGCAATTTATAAGTACTGCTCAAACGCAAAAACAAAGCGAGATAGACAGTCTTGGTCTTGGTCTTGCCCCAATACACCTGGTCTTGGTCTTGGTCTTGCAGCAAGAGTCTTGCAAGTCTCGCAGTTAGCCATTAGCCTATTGCTATTTATTAAACGTTACTTTAGATCTAAAAACAACGTAACAGAATAGGTACATTTAAAGCTTAAATTAACATAGCCATAATTAAGACCCTCCAAATTAATAAATGCCTAAACAACTGACACCGGGTGGGGTTTGAACCCACAATATAAGCACATCCGTGCCTATGCTCTAAGTGAGCAATCTACCATATCCCACGGGATTCATTCTGTTTCTTAATAAACGTTGGCATAAGCTCCCATGTGCTAAATATACGTAATTGTGTGATAGGTACATAATATATGTAAATTACTATTTAACTGGGAATAAGCCACAATTAAAGATAATAATACGTTTATTGACGTTTCAATTTCCACTTCGGAAATCGTTCTCAAAATACAAACAGTAAATTAAACAAATTTTGTTTTTTGTTACATAGTGAAACATTCTTCTAATAATTTAATTTTATCTGACTCATTTATATTGACAATTCAGACATACATTATGCATTTTAAAGTAGACGACTTTAAAATGATATTGCCAATATTGTTGAGTTGCGCTCCTGGGACGACTTTACTTATAAGATAGTTCATTCGATTACATGAAATCAACTTTAACTTGAGAATATCCGTCAGAAAAAATCATAGCATGTAATTCGTCTTTAAAAAGACAAACACATGACATGATGACAGTAAAATTCTCCTGTTAGTGATTCCATAGTAAATTATGAGGGAAAAACCAGGAAAAAAACCTCATGATACTATCCCGACATGGTAAGTATTTCTTCGTGCATATAGTTTACCTTCAATAAACACCAAAATTCTGATTTTATATGTTTCGTTATTTAAAAAACATAAATGATGTATCCTCTATATGTTACTGACTTACTAATACTGATATTTTGTTATTAATAACTTCCTCTTTCAAAATTGGTAACCAGATCCTACTATATTCTGTCGAGGAATTTGCGACACAATTGGCCTCATTTAGCATAATTAAAACATAATTAAAACAAAATTTGTTTAATTTACTGTTTGTATTTTGAGAACGATTTCCGAAGTGGAAATTGAAACGTCAATAAACGTATTATTATCTTTAATTGTGGCTTATTCCCAGTTAAATAGTAATTAATTTAATACTGTAATATCGTTAAATATATATGTATATATGTTATATATGTTTTTTCTTAATTTCAGTTATTGAGTCAAAAGGTAGGAGCACCAAGATCATCAGCCGCTGAATACTATGTCCAAAGAGCTAACCAACTTCTTTGGCAACACATGCACAAATACTCCCTCGAGAGTATAGAAGAAGGCGTTAAGCGGTTGCGAAATGGATCCTTAGATATTCTCATCGCTGATACACCTGTTTTGGATTACTATAGAGCTACTGACCATGGCTGCAAATTGCAAAAAATTGGTGATAGTATAAATGAAGACAGTTATGCGATTGGAATGGCCAAGGGGTTTCCACTTAAGGTAAGTGTCTTTGTAACCATCTGGTGTGTGTGTCTGAAGCGCCTTACCAGCTCATTATTTACAAATAATCTTTTTTAAATACGATCTCTGGAGTGGAATTCGAAAAGTGAATTAGTAGTTAACAATGTAATTTTTATTACAACTAATTGTAGCTTAATTTCATATAAACACAACAATTAACTTAGAAATGCCACAAGAAAACAGTTTCAAACATTTTTAAAATTATTGCATTTGTTTATTAGCAAAAAGACATAACGCTTGCTGCGAACATTAGTGACATAACTCAAAAATTGTAATTTGTAGTAAGCGGCGTTTAAAGTTTCAGCGGAAATACCATATTTAATTGCTTGGTACCTAACTTATTGAAGTATTTTCGATTTCATTCATCATAGTAAGCTGTCAGTTCACAAAATTCAATTGTTAGCTGCTAAAATTAGTATTTTTTACTATGTTTAGTTACGTTACGTCATTATTGCATTAAAGTATGAGTAAGTTTTACAATTTTGTGGGGTACTAGTGACGTAATAATTTAGTAATTTGGATGTATTTTATTAAAACCATGCCAAAATAATTTTGATTACACAAAAATTATTCAAGTTATGTCGAACTTTATAAACAAATCCAAGACATTTCATCTAATTTTTATTTAAAAATTGGGTGGTATACGAAATCAAAACTTAAAACCAAAATCATCCGATAAATTCGAAGTAAAAGAGATTCTTAGGACGCAATATTATGCTGTGTTCTTATAATTCAAGGCATTGAAGAATGGATCATGAATAGGTGGTATAGATTTATTTTGGATGAGACTTTGCAGGTCATCATACTTTTCTTACTAATTTTAACAGTATCCAAATATGCTGGGAATAGATCATAATTTTGTAGATGAGTTATTCCGCTCCTTGTTTATTATTTCTAATTATAACTTCTTTAAATTCTGTGCTGGTATAAGAAGTTGTGTAAAAATAACGGTGCGGATAATTTTTGTCTTCTTTGGTCATAACTATGTCATTAAAATTGAACTTTTCCTCCTCAGTTTTTATATTAAATGGCTGATTAGTACAATTGGATGTCATTTGTTTTAACTCAACAAACTCATTTTGAGCCATTTCACTGACTTTAAACGTAGTTCCTGTTTTCCGGACAGTACTTATTATGGCTGCGTATTGAGTTAATAAAAAAAGGGACCAAGTTCTTTTAATGGATTTTTGAATTATAGAATGACTATTGTCACCTTCGTTTTGACCGTGTCCCAGTTCAAAAACTTTATGGGTGATACTTTTTATTTTGACATTAGTAACCGTATACAAAAAAATGGTTACAACAAATTTATTTTTGCCTTGACTTCCACGATTATCGGAAAAGAAGACTACTTCTAAGTTTTCAGAGTCAGCTCGATTGGTCAAACTACTTTTAAAGCATGTAAAGCATTTTTAAAATGTTTGCATAAAAATGTGTTTAATCCTAATTAAAAGCAATTCGTAATTAACTATGAAAACAATAAATTTTAGTACAAAAATATGTAAACTAAAATTTTGCTTTTTTGCTTGTGCTTTGCTTCAACGCGCTTTTTTGTTGCGGGCTAGAACTTGTCGCTGTAAGTATGGGTGTGACGAAATTAACTGGATTAAAAACAATTCCTTTTTTAACAATTCTACAGTATTAACTACAATGATACTATGAACTTCTGAAGATAAACCCACGCGTACGCGATCAGTCAATCTCTTTTGCATGTGTGACGTCACTTGGCGACAAATACCACCAGAAATGTTCTGTTTCGAATGGAGTTTTGTCAGATTTACTACTGTTTTATCGTTTATCTAGTACGTTGACAAATAAATGTGTGAACTTTTAGATAAAATATATTTCAGACTAGCATTTGCAGATGATGTTGACATAATCGCAAGATCAAGAAGAGAAATGATAGAGGCATTCACTCAAATACAACGAGCTGCAAAAAATAGTGCTCTTAATATCAATCAGACAAAAACAAAATATATGCCTGCAAATAAAAACGCACAAATAAGGCAGCTGCCAAATTTAACAATAGGAGAATACAACATTGAGGCGGTAAAAAACTTTACATACTTAGGATCCCTAGTTACGTCTGATAACAACGTTGCAGACGAAGTGAAGAGGAGAATATTTATTGCCAATAAATGTTACCATGGCTTAATTAGGCAACTAAGATCAGATAACGTCTCCAGAAAAACAAAATGCCAAATATACAAAACCTTAATAAGACCGGTACTCACATACGGTTCAGAAACCTGGACACTCTCTAAAAGGGAGGAAATGTTATTAGCCACCTTTGAAAGAAAAATCTTGTGACACATATATAAGGGCACAAAAGAAAACGGGATTTGGCGGAGAAGGTATAACTTTGAACTATACAACATATACCAGGATCCGGATATCATAACATTCATTAAAATAGGAAGGCTACGTTGGATTGGACATGTGGAAAAAATGGAAGAAGGCGAAATACCAAACAAAATATTCAAACGAGTGCCAGTAGAAAAAAGAACAAGAGGAAGACCGAAGCTGAGATACGTAGAACAAATAGAAAATGATATAACAACATTAAAAAGTAAAAACTGGAAAAAAAGCACGAAACAGGTCAGAATGGAGAAGAATCCTTGAACAGGCCAAGAACCAAAAAGGGTTGACGAGCCAGTGATGATGATGATGATATTTCAGAATATTAAATAAAGATAAACTGTTATCACCTAGTGACGTCATGCGTATCGACGTAAAAAATTCGATTGCGAAGTGGTTTTATCTTGGAAGTCGTAGTATCATGTTAGCTACCATAGACAAACAATGTTAATACACCAATTGATTAGTCTCTCTGTATAATGATATGCAAGAGACCGGGAATTTTCATCGTTATAAGGAGGGATCGATATTAAGAAAATGACTAAAATCGTTACTGTAATAATAATAATATTATACTAACCAACCTATTGTAATTGAAATAATTGATCTTAACAATTATAAATAAATTAACACTGTATATACTGTACACAACATAAATTTATTTAAGATTTATAGATAGATTTATTAAATAATTATGTAAGCAATACAGTATAAAAAAATTACTGTGCAATTATAAAATGTATACTGTACAATAACAAAATAATATGATACTGTACAGTATTTTCATCAAGGTATAAAAAAAACATCATATATTTAGCCTACGTTAACGAAAAAGTCTGTCACCTTGGTCCGTTTCTTTTTCCCTATCCACAGAACTAATTTGACCTTGTCTAGAAGACGCATAGAGTTTTTCACAGCACTCATATCGTCTTACTGGTGGATGAAAAACCGATGAAGTAGTTTTGCCGCATCCAATGCTGGCTGGTTCTGGCTCTGCTTCTACTTCCGGGTCACTGTTCTCTTCTACTTCTACTACACACACTGCTTGAAGGATGCCCTTGTCAAAAAGTCCAGATGTTGTTGCTACATTTTCATTACTTTCTTCGAAATCTGTTAGCTCTTCCGGTTCGTAGGTGGTAGTAAGTTTAAACTGTCTGATCCAAACACCTAATGGCAGGTTAGCTGTTGATGATTATTATGATTTTGTGGGTTACAACCTTGTTCGGGGCGGCCATTCATTTATTGTTTTTACTTTATACAAATGATACATAATAAATTTTCCTTTAATGTTTCACTTTCAATTTTTGAATAAAAATACCGATAAAAACGTTTATTCAAACTAAATTTAGGGCGCAGTTGCTAGGAAATAACCTTAATTAGGTTTATAAATATTTCTGATAATTCAAAAGTAGTAATCGAAAACAAACGTATTGAAAAAGTTCAAAAGTATAATACTCGAGAAAATGGTTAAAAGTAATCCTAGCAATACCATCGAAGTTATAGCACTTATCGAAACAAAATGCATTCTGGCAAAGAGAAAACTTTTTATACTTTGGAAAACTATCCAACTAACTAAAAGTTTAAATGCCTGAATATTATTTACATTTAGTTTTTTTATTTAATAGAAGCAAAAATGCCAACTTATGGCATACATCGACATGATTTTTAAAAGTATTTATATAGGAAAATATTATAAACATAGTACTAGAACGACTTAAGAGTGGTATAATTTAAAAAATATATCATCTTACAACTATTTTAACAATATTTTAGCAACTGACGTCTTTTACACTTCCCCTTGTTGTCTGTTAGAAACTAAAATACTTATTTATTATTTTAGGACAGTATATCAGCCGTAATAGCGAAATACTCCAACAACGGCTACATGGACATCCTCCAGGAGAAGTGGTACGGAGGTCTGCCGTGTTTCAAGCTAGCGACGGATATAGCTCAACCTCGTCCTCTAGGGGTTGCCGCCGTCACGGGGGTTTTCATCCTGTTGGGGGTGGGCATTGCCCTTGGATTGCTCATCCTGCTCGTCGAACATCTGTTTTTCCGGTATACTTTGCCCCTTTTGAGGGATAAGCCGAAGGGGAGTATTTGGAGGAGTAGAAATATTATGTTTTTCAGTCAGGTAAGTGATAGTCTAGGAGGTTTACATTTAAGTAGAACGAATGTTTACCAACTTTTTTTTTTGTGTTGAGAAACTCATTATATAGCAGTGTTAATGGTTTATTGAAACTGTTTATTGTTATAATTTTAAACCATATGAGTCGGTACTTACTGCATTACTTCATTCATATACAGATTGAACCAAATTAAAACGGAACATACAATTTAATACATGTCAGTCTGAACTGCATTTGAAATAGTGGACCAATATTATAAAACTTGGACAAAAATAAATCCATACCTAAGTATAGACATTGTATAAAATATCGTTCCACTATCTGCCTCGCAAAAATGTTATTTGCGTAAGACGGGTTTGTCTAAATAAGCGATAATAGTTCAGGAAATGAAGCTCGAAAAAAGTTAAAACCTCGCAATTTTTTCGTCCTGTATGTATCCAGTTGAAATTTTAACAGAAGGTAGGTGATAGCCCAAGGATCAAAATCTATATGGAACCGAAGTGCGCTGAAGGGTTTTAGGGGTGAACACTACCCCTAATTGTCAAAAATTATAAAATAACATATTAAACCTGAATGTGGGAAAGATTTGGTTTGAATTAGTTAAATAATGATTATTTTATACTTTTGAATAGAGTTCCATCATATTTCAACCTTAAAAAGCAACCCTTGTTAGAGATTAATGTAAAAAAATTACTAATTCTAACAAAATGATTTCGCCTTGGATCGATTTGGATAAAAATTTGAATTTAAGCTCAATTCACAAGCTGTTTTATAGTTTATGTCATGTCGATGAACCCTGATTGTTCTTAGGGGTAAAAACTACACCTAATTGTCAAAAATTATAAAATAACATATTAAACCTGAATATGGGTAAAATTTGGTTTGAATTAATTAAATAATGATAGTTTCGTGCTTTTGAATAAAGTTCCATCATATTTCAACCGTTAAAAAGCGACCCTTATTAGAGATTAATATAAAAAAATTAGTAATGCGAAGAAAATGATTTCACCCTGGAACGATTTGCATAAAAGTTTGTAATTAAGCTCAATTCACCCTCTGCCTTATAGTTTATGTCATGCCGATGAACCCTAATTGTTCTTAGAGCTGAAAACTACCCCTAATTTTCAAAAATTGTAAAATAATATTACAAATCTTAAGATGAGTGAAGTTTGGTTTAGACTAGTTAAATAGTGATTTTTTCATACTTTAAAATACAAATTCATACATTTTCAACCCTTAAAAATCAATTGTTATGAGTGCTATAGGTGATAACAATTTATTGCCAAAATTTTGCAACTTTTTAACTTTTAAAAATCACCCTTAACAACATTGCAGTTTTTATAAACTAATTTATAAGATATATATTGAAAAAGTAGAGTTAAATACAAAAAAATTTATCAACATAAAAAGGCACCATATATTCTTATACATTTACATAAATAGTTGAAAATATTTACATTTATAGGTAAAACAATTATAATATTAATTTTATTCCTCATCAATTACATCTTCATCGTGATCTATGTCATCCTCATCTTCTTTAATTATTGGTGGACTGTTATTGCACCCTTCACCTGAGCACCCAGAACAAGTAGAGTTACAGTATAAACCAACTTTTCTGCACCCATATGAAACGCCGCCTCCTTTTTTGCATTGGCAAAAAATAATTTTCAAAAGTTCATCGGGTGCAGTTTGTTTGTTCATGCGTACGGGTAATAACAAACCATCTTTGGAATACCATCCCCAATCTGTTGCTCTGATATTTTCATTGCCAAGCCATAGACATATGAGCAGATGTTTTATTTTGTTGTATGGGATTTCAAAATAAGAACGCTTAAAATTTCGAATGTATAACGCCCCACTAGCTAATATACCAGTTTTGTAGATTATTATGCTCCGAAATGTACTGTACTATACTAATGGAATTTTCCGGAAAAAAGTTAACTATTTTTTTTAACGTATTTCCTTTAATTTTTAACGGTAGAGTGTTTCTTCAAAAACGATTTGTAGAGGTTTTTAAGAGCTACAAGGATCTGTGAATTAAATCTTTTTGAAACCCTTGGTTTTTAAATGGGTTGAGTTTAAAGGGCTCGAAAAAGATGGTGCTTGATCGTAAATCGATGCTTTAAACTGCTATATCTCGCCAAATATTCATTGTACAACAAATCTAAATAAAGGATAATTTTAGTCATTAAAAAAGCTACTATTTGGTAATTTTTTTTTCATATATTCAATATTTTCGGGCATATTTAAAAAAAGAAGGGTAAAAAATATGAAATTGTAAATCGTTTCTCGCTTTAAGCTGTACTTTTTTTAAACTAAGCATTTTAAATGGGTCAAACTTCTTGGACGTATTAACAATACATGTACAAAGAGAATTGCAGAAGGGTGAAGATCGATTTTAATTATGGGGGTGGTTAGGGGGTTGTTTTGATCGATTTTTTCGTAAAAAATGAAGTATTGACCTTATTTTCATTATAACTCACTCAATTTTTAAGCTAGAGTTTTTTTTATGATAGGTCTATTTATGCTCTTTAAAAAATATTTTTTGAGTTTTCTCCCAAAAATGCATCATTTTCCCGATATTTGACTGTGAATCTTTCAAATTTGGCATTTGAAGAAAACCGCCTGAACATTGATAGGCCGTATTTCGGTCCCTATTATATCGCAAAAACATTTTAAAAAATGAATTGTATTTATATTTTTAAAAGCTACAAATTTGTTCTCTATAATTTTTTTGATAAAATGCACTATTTTCGAGTTATTCCCGAAAAATCGATTAAAAACGTGGATTTTTTCGTCTAAAAGTTGTTACTTTCAATCGCGAATAACTTGAAAAATATCATTTTATAAAAAAAATGTATAGCACATTTTTTGTTTAGAATCACTTATTTAATCGAAACCTGTAGTTTAAACGTAAAAAAAAAAATTCACCACGGAGATGGGGTGGCAACCACCCCTAGGCTTTGGCGCACTTTGGTTCGATATAGATTTTGATCCTTAGGCTATTACCTACCTTCTGTTAAATTTCAAGTCAATTCACGCAGAACGAAAAAATTGCGAGGTGAAATGTTTCATTTCCTGGACTATAACTGGTTTGACAGCATTATAAAATCGTAGATTTATGTGTAGCTTTCAATTTTTATGAGTTCAGAATCCAGCAGCCCGCTGAAGTATGGGATTTTTATAATATAATTATTTGACAATATTTTGTTGGCCAACCACCTACAGCAGAATTGAGCCGAAATACATTATATTCCTATGTTCCGTATTTATTTCGTTCAATCTGTAGATGGTGAAATTTATAACTAAAATTAGATTGAGAGAAAGACAATAATGAATGATGCACTTAATTAATTAGTTTCAAGGTACATAAGGTTAGGGTTTAATTTATGCAATGCAGGTATATTTATGCAATAATGTAATATAAGGTATTATTGCCACGTGCCACGTGTTGACAAGTTGGTCTGTGTCGTTTTAACTGACAAGTACTACGTGTTAAAAATCGAGCAAGGAGACATGTAGTTCCTAAAGTAATAGCAATTTATTCATTGTCATTGACCTAGAGTCACAACATAATTAAAATTTAAAATTTGGAATGATGTAAACCCATATATGGAGGTCTCAGCGATAACTTTATTGTTAGCTTCAATTACATAAGGCACTGAGCATGATCTGTTCAGATCGAAAACGTTATGTTAGTACATAAATTTTGACGATACTTTTTTAAAAAGTTTTAACTATATGTTTTTATACCACAATACATGTGTGAAGTATTTTAACTTCTGTGTTTTTTTTTTTAATAAATTTACTTAATATACTTAAATAATCCGGTAGAGTCTGACTAACCAAAAGTCAAAATAACTAGCGGACTATTATACACTAATGCAAACCCCGGTATTCAGTATTTTTCGATATGTGGACGGAAAGGTATTGACCAACGCAAAGCACTCTGAGATAAAATAAGCACTGTAGCATTACAAATAAATTGTCGCTGGTCTTACAGGCCCCACCCGACTCCTCAAGGGTTAAGAAGGGCAAATACTAAGAGTAAATTACTTAACTGGATTAAGGTACGACAATTTGGATATCTGGGCAATATCCTGAAAGGAAAAGAATGCGCAATCCCTAAACTAATTATCCAAGGAAAGATTAAGGGAAAGAGGAAAGTAAGTCAAGAACAAATGGAGCTACGGAATATAAAAACTAGACAGGCATTAATAACACTAGCAAGATTTTGCATGCCGCAAAAGACAGGCGTCTTTTCTTAAGATAATTTGCCACCACACAAGTGCACTTTAAGAAGAAGTAGAATTTTCTGGCACCCCGTATACACGAGTAAATAATCGGTATGTGACGAAATGTTGACGAATTTATGCAGTTGGTTTGTACATACGAATTACTCCCACTGTGACAATATTTAATAGCTCAACTGAGATTACACCACAAATTTCGCAGTTGAAATTACCCGACTCAATATCATCCACAATTTATTTTCAACCTAATCCGATGCAGCTACTATACATACACACAAAATATACCGATTATTTACATAACGCAAAGAAGATTAATTTGTTTTTGTTTTCAAAACGTTCCATTTTTTGTCCCAGACTATAGGAGATTTAACATTTATTATTTATAATTCAATTATACGATGTTGTGTGTTTCGAAAAGTTGTTTTTTTAGTTAAACTGAAAAACGCAGAATGCCCTCGGCTAGCTTCTCTTTCTGTTACGTTCTGCTTTGAATATTATTCTACATAGCAAGTATCTTGAAAAATTAGATTCAGTATTAACAAAAATATGTTTGAATAGGAGCCCTTCATAAATGTAAAGAAAAGCGTAGAAAGATAGTCTTAAAAAAATTAGATATATAATAATAATATATTTTCATACATAAATGTATGTATATTACACAAAATACAAAGCAGTTTACGACTTTGTGAATAGAACAGAA